TGCCCTTCTCGTCTGTGCAATCGTCGGAACGGGCAGGACCGCAGGAGGGAGGTGGCGAATCGCTGCCACGAGGCCTAGATCTTCATGATCAGCGAGCGATCGCGGAAGGTCTGCGTCATCACGGCGCACCCCCTCCCAAATCTTTCTCCAGCTGTCCATTTGATTGTCTGCGATCGCCTGCGGGTGCGACGTCGTGGTCTTCCCCTGCTTGATCTGCGCATGTGCCCACGGCTGCACTCTGGTGATCGAGTATACCTGCGCAGGGCCAGTGACCATCGCATCTCGTGCCCAGGACTTGAACTTGCGAACTCTATGCCAGCCTTTCTGCCTGTCGAGCTGGTCGACGTGCTGCATAATGATGTTGCCGAAGGCCTGGAGGCACAGGAGGCACTGCAGGGGAGGCTGCTTGCAGGCAAGGTGGATGATGTCCCAGGCACCATCGAAATACTGGATGCCCTCGGCGGTGTGTACGTCCTGCCTATGTCCTGGGCGAAGCAGTCTGGCGAGATGAGTCCAGCGTGCTCGGCGCCGTGGTGTTGAGACAGTGCGGGCCGATATGTTGCGCGCATTCTTCGCCAGATTATTCTGTCCTCCGAACGGGCCCTGGGGGCCCCTGGCACCCAAGAGCTCGGCACCACCAGTAGGACCTTGTGGTGGCGTCGTGGCCAGGCCAGGACCAGACGTTTGAGAAGGGCTGGGGTCATCAGAGGAAGGCAAAGCCTGACTCCTATGAGAGTGATGCTGTCCCTCGTAGGCGCTCTGCTGGTCGTCGTAGCAGGGCAGGAGGTCGGGCAACGGCCTGTCGCCCAGGAGTCTTCTCATCTCACTCCTGATCTCCTCGAGCTCGTCCCAGTGCTGGCTGATCATGTGTCGCCCAAGTGGTATGTCGTGTATGGCCAGCCAGTCCATGTAGGAGATGATGGCAGCTCGGTTCTCGGAGGAGCGGCCCCAAGCGTCGTTGCAGATGTCCTCGGCGAGCTCGCGTATCGAGTTGAAACTGCCGTCCGCGAGGGCGGCTGCTACCCACGCAGTATGTTGAGGTAGGCGCAAACACTCCATCACGTAAGGGATGCACCATCCTTGCCATGAGCGTCCCCCCGAGTCCGCGTCCGACAGGTCAGGCGCCCATCGGGTGGCGCCAGCTGCAACTGCCTCCCTGAACTCCTCCTCGGCGTCGTCATGATCCTCGTCACCAGGGGGTGGCGGCCTTCCCACGGCGCCAGGGGCGGCCAGGCGCTTCCAAACGCCCAGATCCACCTGTGGAACCGAGCTCGCCGCGGCCGTCGTCGATGGCGAAGGTGAAGGCTGAGGATCATGATGTAGACCGTCATCTGCAGAGGTTTGCCCTGTAGTGGGAGGGCAGGGGTAGGTATCCGCCAGCTGCTGCAGCGAGGTGACGCCGAAGTCGACGAGGAAGTCGGCGACCAGGTCATGGACTGCCCGACCCACCGCGCGGAGAAATCGCGGCTCACTGCCTCCAGCTGGGTGTGGACCAGTCTTGGGGCCTCCAATCGGGCGCCAGGTGTATTGGGCCCCATCTGCACGTCCCCGATAGGAATCTGGATCGTCCACCTGGTAGATGCCGATGAGCTCGTTCTCGACATGCGAAATAAACCGGCCGTATAAGGCATCCATGCGGCCGATTGCCTCCTCCTTGGAAGCTGGGGGACCTCTCTCTGCATCCTTGTCCACAATGTCCAGGTAGTCTGGCGTGGGGATCGGCCCATGTAGAGGATGGCAGCCCTCCGTGGCAGGGGGTCCTTTGGGCAGAGCCCTTGGGGCTCTGATGCTGAGAATCTGCATGACCTTCGGCTTGGCCTTGACATGGGTGGTGACTGGCTTGTGAGGTCGTGCTGGCCACGTCGCCATCGTTGTAGGCGGTCTGCATGCCGTCTCGAGGCCAGGGGACGTGATGAAATAGTCAATGTTGTGATAGTCGCCCTTCGAGGTGCGGCATGTGCCCTCCTCCTTGGTGTAGAGAAGAGCGGCAGGAAGTACTTCAGGCAAGCCCATCTGCTGATAGTCCTGGGGGGCTGATGTTCCAGTCCCCCGCAATGATGAAGGGCTTGTTCATGTACCTGAGAAGCTGTGCCAAGTTTAAATAGCGCCCGTAGTTGGCTGTGAGGTAGGCGGTCGTGTGCGCATTCTCCATGTAGACAGATCCCACCAGCAACCCTCCAGTAAGTCCCACATCAACGTGTATGACCACTGCCCAGGCTGGAGTAATGTCATGGGTTGCTTTGCCATCGGGTCCCTCGACGACGGTGGCTGGTAAGTGAGAGCGCACAAAGACCCCTGCGCCAGCACTGGGCATGCCTGTAGGTAATCTGCGGCAGGGCGTGACGAAGGCCTGCCAGCCGTTGCGTCGAGCCCAAGATTGCGCCTGCGCCAGACGCTCCCCGTCGAGTCTCGACTCCTGAGCGCACACTATATTGACCCCTGTCGTACCTTCTGCCAAAAATGTCCTGCAAGTGTCCCAACAAGAACCATTGAAGGTAGCAGCTGCAATATCTTTGCGCTTTGAGCCTCGCAGGGCCCTCCTAGCTGTCGACGCCCGCGTTCTCCCATGCTGCAGCTTCGACGGCCATCTGGGTGCCAGGTCCTGCTGGTGGAGCTGGAAATGGGGAGCGAAAAGCGGCTGACTGCGGAGGCGACTGAGCCGATGCCCTCGGTGGTGGGGCTCCTGTCGCCAGGGAGCCGATGTTGGAGACCTGCTGTTCGATGGTGCTGAGGAGCTTGGCGCCGTCCATGTTCGACGTACCTGCGCGCGCCGATACCAGAACAGCCTGGAGCTGCTGGATGGCCACGGAGACGTTAGCCATTGCGGGGGTCCCGTCAGCTGCCACGGCCGCCACTGCAGACTGGGCATGAGCGACTTCCACACTGAGGCTGGTCGTCTCGGCCTCGAGCCTGGTGAGCTGCTGCTGAGCGTCGGCGAGCTCGTTGGACATCTGCTCGAACTGAGCGGCCTTGGCCGCACGCTCAGACTCCTTGGCAGCCCATCTGTCTTTGGCGCTCCTGAGCAGGTCGGAGGGGTCCATCTGAGCCCGCAGGGCGGCCTCCTCCTTGTCATTGGCGGCCTTGGCGGCGATGACCAGGTCGTGCTCGTCACCGTAGATCCGACGTAAGGCCAGCCACGCACGCTTGGACTTGACTGCTGGAGACTGCTGTGCCGCTGCGTCGCCAGCAGCCTGAGGAGCAGCATGAGCCAGATCATCACAGTCACGCCAGGGCGCCTCGGCGCCGCGCGGAGGAGGTCTCCTGCTGCGGCTTGGCGCTCGCTGTGGGGCGGTCGAGGGCCTGCCATCCCTGCCCCTGCCGCATGCCCAGCACGTCGTCCTGCTCGAGTAGTTGTTGCGGAAACCGCAGGCCTTGGACGCTTTGCATGGCCATGCCTCGCCATGCATCTGCACCTGCTGCGGCTCCTCGGGCGGCGCACTGCCGTGGTGTGCCTGCAGGAACCACCTGGCGGCGGCCTCACGCAGTGTCTGTCGCGCACTGGCGTGGCGCCTGCGAAGGCGGCGATGCCAGTCTGGCGGCGGGGCCCGCCCTCAGGGGCCGCTCGCCGCCACTGCTGCGCCTGCGCCCGCCGTCGGGCAGCAGGCTGGGGCCAGATGGATGCGCCCGCCGCGCGCCCCCGCGCGCGTGGGCCCAAATGGCAGCCTGGAGGAGGAGGAGGAGGAGGAGGAGGAGGAGGAGGAGGAGGAGGAGGAGGAGGACGAGGAGGAGGAGGAGGAGGAGGAGGAGGAGGAGGGAGGAGGAGGGAGGAGGAGGAGAGGGAGGAGGGAGGAGGAAGAGGAGGAGGAGGAGGGGAGGAGAGGAGGAGGAGGAGGAGGAGGAGGAGGAGGAGGAGGAGGAGGAGGAGGAGGAGGAGAGGAGGAGGAGGAGGAGGAGGAGGGGAGAGGAGGAGGAGGAGAGGAGGAGGAGGAGAGGAGGAGGAGGAGGAGGAGGAAATAGAACAGAGAGAGAGAGAGAGAGAGAGAGAGAGAGAAAGAGAGAGACCGCGGAGAAGAGCTTTCTGGGGCCTCGTTTGGGCTTCGGGGCTTTCTTTCGGGGTGTCGTGGTGGTCTCCCCTGGGCCACTTTGGGGCCCTCTTGGGCCGTCCGGGGGGCATCTTGGGCCATCTTGGGGCCATGGTTGGGGTTTGTGGCCGTCTAGGAGCCCGGTTTCGGCCCTCTTGGGCGGCTCCTGGTGCGTCTTGGGGGGCCACCTGAAGCTCTATTGGGCTGTCTTGGGCCTGTCTTGGGCCAGCTTTGGGCCCTCGTGGGCTGTCTTCGTGCGCTCGTCGGGACCTCTGGGGCCATCTTGGGGCGATCGTAGAAATTCCTGGAGCCGCGTGGGGCCGTTCTGGCCGGCCGTTGGGAGAATGCAGAACAACAATCAAAAACATACATTTGGCTGGATTTGCTGCCTCGTTGTGCCGTCATCCGGGTCCTCGTGGGCCCCTTGGGCCGTCCCAGGATATCGGGGCCAAAGTGGGGGTCTGAGGCTGTCTGGGCGCCTGGTTTGGGCCCTCCTGGGCAGCTCCTGGGGCGTCTTGGAGGGCCTCTTGAAGCTCTGCTAGGCTCTTCAGGGCCTGTTCTGGGCCGTCTTGGGGTTCTATTGGTGGGCTCGTGAAGGCCTTTTGGGCTGATGCGACCTTGAAGGACCCGGAGCCTTACGGCCTTTCTGGGCCCGTCATGGGGAGAATTTGAAGCACCTTGGAACAATTACGGTTTTTGCTTGTTTTTTCGCCTCGTGGTGCTGGTGCCCTCATCGGGGTTCTCGTGGACCGTCTGTGGAGCCTCCTGGCGAATCTTCAGGCCCTCTTGGGTCGTCCTGGCGCCATCTGGAGCGTCGCAAAGCTGTCTCGGGGTTGTCTGAGGCCGTCCCAGGGCCATCTGGCGACCCTCTGGGCCCATCGGGGAGCGTCTCGAGGGCGCCCCAAGCGCTCGGGGGCGCTCTGGAGCGGTTTCTCTGGAACGCCTGGCTCGCACGCGCCGCGATCGGAATTGTAATGCAGATGGCGTCGGGCTCCACCGTCGCCTCCCGCATCTGGCCGAGTAGCAACAGGGCTCGTTCCCACTGCCCGCAGTTCTCACACGCGCTGATGCCAGCGTTGTAGCTGACGCGGGCGAACCCGTGGACTACGTCCACGAAAGCTGGTCGGCGGGGCTCGCGATGTCTAAGCGGAGATGTTTCCGACAGGCTTTCAGGATTAAGTTACCGCCGTGCTAGTCGCCATAGCCGTCGTCGTCGTCGTCGTCGTCGTCGTCGTCGTCGTCGTCGTCGTTGTCGTGGTCGTCGTCGTGGTCGTCGTCGTCGTCGTCGCCGTCGTCGTCGTCGTCGGGTCGTCGCCGTCGAGGTCGTCAACGTCATAGCCGCTGTAGTCGTCGTCGTCGTCGTCGTCGTCGTCGTCGTCGTCGTCGTCGTCGTCGTCGTCGTCGCCGTCATCGTCGTCATCGTCCTTGCCGCAGTCTGCGTTCGGCGAGATGGCACCAAATATTAAACCTCTGCGCGTGTGTTTCTTTTCCGCTCGCATGGTCAGAGCCGCTGCGGCTCTCCGGAGAAGGGCCTCCGAACTGGCTGTACGGATTCTGTGGATGTTGCAGCCTCCTGGGGCCCCACTCGAAGGTAAAGATGCAAACCAGGCCTGAGGCCCGAGGTAGTCTGAGGAGTCGTCTCTCGGGGGTCCCTTGGGGGTCTCTTGGGGCCTTCTTGGGGCCTTCTTTGGGGCTTACTCGGCTCCCAGGGGGCCCTTTCAAGCCTGCTGGAGCCATCTGGGCGGCCAGAGCCACCGGTGGCTGCTTTGGGGGGTGTCCGGGGACGTTCCGGAGGTGCCTTCTGGAGATTTGGTGCGCTCCTTGGCCGCCCAGGGGCGGGGGGGAGAAGGGGGAAGACACGGGAGCGAGGAGGGCGAGGGGGAGGAGGACGACGGGGAGGGGGAGGAGGGGGAGGAGGAGGAGGAGGAGGAGGAGGAGGAGGAGGGAGGAGGGAGGAGGAGGAGGAGGATGAGGAGGAGGAGTTGGAGGAGGGGGAGGAGGGGGAGGGGGAGGAGGAGGAAAAGGAGGAGGAGGAGGAGGAGGATGAGGAGGAGAATGAGGAGGAGGAGGAGGAGGAGGAGGAGGAGGCGGAGGAGGAGGGGGAGGCGGAGGAGGAGGAGGCGGAGGAGGAGGAGGAGGCGGAGGAGGCAAGGGGGAGGAGGAGGAGGAGAAGGAGCAAAGGGGCCATACTTGGGGCCTCTTGGCCCATCTTGAAGCCTTGCTAGGCCATCTTGAAGCTCTTTGTGCCGTCTTTGGCCCCCCTTTTTGTGGGCCTATTTGGGCCCGCTGCGGATCGAGGCTCGTGGGCCTCTTGGGGCTCCCCCTCCGCCGAGGGCCGCCTCGGGTCGATCTCGGTCTCGAGTCTGCTGCCGATCCCCCTTCGAAATGTGGCGCCGCCCATCTCCGACCTTTGGAGTGCGAGGTATTCCGTGCCTCATTGGCAGCATACTGTGCGCTCGCATTGCATCACACGTCAGCACACAAGGAGGCGCAGGGCATTTCACGAGCACGTGGGGGAGACGTCCAATTGCCCGGTGTGCCAACATGCGTATTCTAGTCGTTTGCACCTCCTCACGCATCTTGCCAGGATTGGGTATGAACCTTAGCTCATTGGTGGCAGCTCCTGAGAGCCGCCACTAGAGGAACGGCTGCCAGCAGAGGCTCGTGACCGTGCCCTCCTTGTCCGCGCCCGGCCTCTGGGCCGAAACGGGCTCCCAAAAAAACGACCGCCCACCGAACTCGCAATAGGTAATGCATGTTTTGCTCCATCCGTTATACTTGCGCCTTCCATGCCTCGGGAAGGAAACACGTAGCTTCTTGGGCTGTCCTGCGACGCCCCGAGGCCCGAAGAAGCGAGCATGCGGGAACCATTCGAAGACCACACGGGAATCACTGCGCTTGGCTCCTGCAGACTCTCTCAGAGGGTTCTCTCGGATGCGTCCGGGGGCGTGCTTCGGGCCTGTCGGGCCATCTTGGCCCCGCTTGTGGCGCTCCTGAGCTGCGTTGGAGCTCTCTGGGGCCGTCTTGGAGGCCTCTTGGGCGGTCTGGCGCCTGTCTTCGAATATCTTGAAGCTCTCTTGGGGCTCTTGTGGGCCGTCGTGGAGCGCCCCACGGGGGGTCCGTGAGCGAGCCGAGCCATTCATCAGTTCAGCCCTCCTGCACGCGGCGCCCCACGCCTTAGACTGGATAGATGACGTGGGGCTCCAACTTGGCCTCCCGCATCTCGCCGAGCAGCATGAAGGCCCGATGCCACTTCCTGCTCTTCGCGCACGCGCTGGCTCCAGCGCTGTAGCTGATGATGTCGGGTTCTAAATTCGCCTCCCGCATTTCGCCGAGCAGCGCCACGGCCCGCTGCCACTGCTCGCCCGTCTCGCACGCGCTGATCCCAGCGTTGTAGCTGATCACGTCGGGCTCGAGACTGGCTTTCATCATCTCACGAAGCAGCAACAAGGCCCTCTGCCACTGCTCAGCTTGATTGCAAGCGCTGATGCTACCACTGTAGCTAATGACGTTGGGCTTCAGCTTCGCCTCCCACATTTCGCTGAGCAGCAACAAGGCCCTCTGCCACTGTTCACCTTTCTCGCATGCGCTAATCCCGACGTTGAAACTGACTGGGGCTGACCCGTGGACAACCGTCCATAAGAAGTTAGGTATTCTAGGGTGAGGACCGGTTGCTTGCTTGATTGCGCGTCTGCTATCTCGCTTGCGTGGTTGCTGGCCTGGTGGCCTGTGATAACATGTGGCCTACTTGCCTTGCGTTCTTCGTTGCTTGCTCGCCTGCGTGCTGCCGCTTACTGTGGCTTGCGAACGATCGATGTTGCTAGCTGCTTGCGACCGTTTGCTGACTTTCGCTATCACTGACAAATCTTTGCTGTTGTAGGCTGCTGCTTGCCGTGCGTGCTGCTGCGTACTGCGTGCTGCTGCTTGCTATAGCTGCTTGCTGCTGCGAGATGCAGTCGATTGCACTTCTGCTTGCTGGTGCTGCCTTCTGCTGACTGCTGCTCTAAGGGACGCATGATGGATTCTCCAAGACCGTGTTTAGGACGTATCGGGGCCTTCTGGGGCCGTCTCGCGGCGCATCCATCTTGGCGACCTCTTGCGGTTAACTTGGTCGGTATCCTGGGCTGTCTTGGGGTTCTCCCCAGGCCTTCTTGGGTAGTACTGGTGCCCTCATCAAGACCTGCTCTTGCACGCGTTGCCGCGAGCGATGTAGTAGAGATGACGTCGGGCTCCATCTTTGACTTCCGCACCTCGCTGATCAGCGACAGGGCCTGCTGCCACTGCTTGCCCTTCTCGCACGCGTTGATCGCAGCGCTGCAGCTGACGACGTCGGGCTCCAACTGCGTATCCCGCATTTCGCCGAGCAACAACAGGGCCCGCCGCCATTGCTCGCCTCTACCGCACGCGCTGATCCCAGCGTTGTAGCTGACCCGTTGGCTACCATTCACGAAACCTGTCTCGGCCGGCACGTGGCGAGAGAGTTAGCGCCGAAAAGCTACCGTGATGACACTGGGCTGCGGCCCCGCGTCCTCACGCGAGCCTGCCCTGGCTGCCGCTGCTGCTGCGAGCTCTGCTGCTGGTGCTGCTGCTGCTGCTGGCTCTGCTGCTTGCCTGCTGCGCTCGCTGGCCTGTCCAGCCTTGGGTCTGAACTCCGTGCTGGTGCTCTCTCGGGGCGGTCTTGGAGCTCTCCTGGGCCTGCCGCCGCCGGTGGCCTGCCGAGGGGGGCTCTGAGACTGCTGCGCTCTGCTTCTCGCGTGCTGCGCTTCTGCTGCTCCTCCAGTGTCGATGGCCTCGTGAGGCCCTCCTGGCGCTACCCCGAAGCCTCCTTGAGTATCGTTAAACCGATCCCAATCCCTAGCGGCGTGGCCTGGGCCCCACTGGTCGACTCACCCCCCTAGATGGGGATATAGGCCGTCCCCTTCGGGTTTCGAAGGGCGTCTCCCCAACGGGGGGGGGGTAATTTGGTGGGGGTCTCGAAGGGGATGGGGATGGGGATGGGGATGTGGATGGCGATGCTGACTCCTGGGACTCTTTTAGGGCCCCTCGTTGCGGACTCCTCGGGTCCACCTCGGGGCAGGCGAGGCCCTTCTGGGGGGAGCCCGGGGGCCGTGCGGGGCGGGCGGAGGCCATCTCGGGGCGGCCTTGGGCCGTCTTGCAGCAGCAGCCTTGGGGCCATCTTCGGGGCCAGCTGGGGTAACCTTGGGCCATCTTCGGGGCTGAGTTGGCTCTCCCAGGGGCTCCTCTGGGCTCCTTCTTGGGCCCTCTCGGAAATCCCTGGGGTCCGCTCCGGAGCCAGCAGGAGCCAAAAGGGGCAGAGCTCGGGCAAGACATGTTCATCAGCTCGGGCCCTGAAGAGTGGGCTGTTGCACCCTCTCTCTATATGTGTCATATGTGCTATATATATATACGCATTTGCATGTACACAAGTGTATCATTTACGCACACACATATATATATATATATATATATATATATATATATCTATATTCATACCGTGCAACCTGTGTTGTGCAGGCTGTGCGGCGAAAGCTATGCGGTGCGACCAAGGGGGTGCACTCTATGTGGCGTGCAGGCTAGGGTGTGCAATCAACGTGGTGTAAGATTTGGTGCAATATAGACGGTGCAATATCGTTTTGGTGCACCACATGTGGTGCAATCTATGGGTTGCAAGCGACGTGGTGTAACCTTTGGTGGATGTCAACTATTGGAATCGTCGACTCCACTGCTCGTGCAAACATCCCACCCTCCCACCCGCAACTTGTCGGTTAAGCTCGCGGGGCGGTCGCGATATGGTGGCGGCGATGATGACGACCGCTACGCCAACGACGACGGTGATGACCGTGGTGATGACGCTGATCCCGATGGCGATGACAGAGGAGATGGAGACGATACAATGTCGACGACGACGATGGTGATAGTGCTGAGCTGATGGTGATGATACTGGCAGTTGCAGCGGTAACGCTGGCGATGATGATGCAACTGGTGCTGGTGATGATGATGACGTGCCCGAACTTGGACGAGGCGACGTCGTCAATGACGGCGGCGGCTGTGATCTCGACCATGTTGATGATGATGCCGATGGTGATGATGCTCATGATGATGATGGTGGTGGCGATGGTGATGGTAATGGTGATGATGATTGTGACGATGGTGACAATGATGATGCTGGTGCTGGTGATGATGATGATGATGCTGATGCTGCTCATGATGATGATGACGATGGTGATTGCGATGCCAGTGATGACGCTGACGATGACGATAATGGTGATGGTGCTGGCGATGGTGATGATGTTGCTGACTCGAACTCTGGCTGCGTCCGCTTCCTCCTGAGTTTCACCTCGGCATTCTCCTCCCATGCCGTGGGCTTAGCCCTCTCGAACAGTTCCATGTAGGTTCTGCCGGTGCTTTTCCTGACCCTGTGCGCTGTCGCCCTGGCCCAGTCATAGCAGCCCATCTGCGCCCTCGGGATCTCGTGCATTGCCGTCGCCTTACCTTCCAGGGTGATCGCCTTGTGGTCGCTTCTCCATGCTTCTCGTGGTGCTCCGCGATTCTGTGCCTGCTCGATCGTCGTGTGGTTCTCTATTTGTCGCACTCTCACCTCGGCATCTCTTCGCGACTCCAGTCGCCGTGTGCCTTCTCGTAGCCCGTGGATGTATGCCTCCTGCTGTGCCCGCCCTTGCAGAGGCTGTCCGCGTCCGTGTCGAAGACCAGGTCGCCTTCGCTCTCCGGCAGGCAGTCCGAGAGCGCCGCGATCTCCGCCCAGTTGTTCGGTTGGCGAGCTCCTGGAAGCTGACCGTGCACAGTTGTCGCCTCTTGCCAAATCTCCCCATTGCTCCGCGGTGTGGTCCAGCCCCAGCCGCATCTCCTATACCTTGCGTCGCCTCCGTGTTCGCCTCCTCTTCCGTCTCCTCATGCCATCCTGCCCTCCATCAGGTTCAGCTTCTCGCCGTGCAACTCGTGGGTGATGTGGGCTGCTGAGCCTGTCCGCGTTGGCTGGTACTCAGTTCTGCACACTGGTGGCTTAGTCCAAGCTCGTGGCGTGGTCCCTCTCGTCCAGAAAGTCGCCCAGGTTGCCCGCCTTGCTCCCGATTCTCGACCTCCTTCTCCTTCTCTTGGAACTCGTACGCTATGCCTCTGTCTTTGTACCGCTTTTGGTCCTCCTCGCTGGTTTCGTAGGCTTCGCAGTAGACGCTCTTCATCTTGGACCCTAAATGGTGGTATTGCTGTCCAAGCTTGGTAGCTTCTATCTCCTTTGGCCTAAACGCCGCCGAGTCGCTGATGTGTATCAATTCTTCCGCTCTCCTCCTGGTGTGCTTCATCTCGAGATTTTTGTCCTCCGTGTGGTTCAGCGTGGTCGTATTGACCTGCTGGTCCTTCAGCTCGGCGTTGGTGGGCTTCTCCTCCTCCAGCTCGCTGCCGGGGTCGTAGCCTCGCACCTGGCCAGCCGCCTCGATATCAGGATCGTTGCCGTCTCCTGCTGCCGAGGCTGCTGAAAGGGGCCCTACAGAGTTGGCCCATGGCAGGCTTCCCACTGCTTGGTCTTCTAATATCTCTAGTCCTTCCAGTTCTGGCTGGAGGTGTTCATCTCGGTGGAAGTTCCACTCCTCCGGGTCCTCCTCTATGTCTATGCTGTCCGCCTCGGGGTTGTCCATGTGGTTTGGTGCAGATCTCGTCGTCGTCTCTCTGGCCCTTGGTGCAGGCCGCTGTCTCGTTCTCGATGTCGCTGGCGTCGGTGTCCTTGGTCCCTGGCTTCCGTCGTCCCGTCTGGCCTCTGCCGCGTGCTTCTGTTGTCTTGATGTAGCTAGTGTCGGTGTCTCTGATTATTGTCTCGCTTTCCCTTCTCGCAGCATGTCCGTGCCTTTGCCTTGGTTGGGAGCACCCTTGATCGCTTCGTCGAACTCCTCAAGTGTCCGACTTGGCGTGGCCTCCACTTGCGCCATTTCGCGCAGCATGTTGATCACTTCCACCGCATCCTCGTGCTTGCTGGTGTGCTTCCACATCCCCTCGGAGTCTTCTGCCTTCAGGTCGACGCTGTCCTTCGGGTTCGTGGCCTTCCGTCCTTCTTTGTATTCATCCTCGTGTCTTCTCTTAGGCTTCGTGATCCTGTGCAGGGCGCTTGGCGCGATGGCCTCCATGTTGGCTACCCCGCGTGCGTGGCCCCTTGCGCCTCTCCTCGAAGACCGTGTAAACCTCGCCACCACAGCCAATCGCCGTGCATTGGCTCCCGCCTTCAGCTGTTGGTTTCACCTCGGGTGGATCACGATGACTACAATACAATATGCTATCGCATGCCATGTCATCGCAGTCCAGCCCTCCATCTGAAAAAGACCCAAGTCTTCTGCCCCCACGGCCTGTCTTGCCCCCCCACGACTGCCAGCAATAGTCCCCGGAACACTGTCGTGCGCCGCGTACTCGCGGAAAAAACAAGCTCTTGAAATGCGGCCTCGTGGCAGTCGTCGCACCTCCACTCAAGCCCCTCTCGGACTTGGCGGAAGGTTGAGATGCTGCGAAGCGCGCCGTCAAGCCCCCCTTGGTGAGGAGCTCCTCCTTCTCCTCCAAGAGGTGGTGTCGAAGGTGGGTCTCCTGAATTAGGTATGCGTCGAACCCTTGCCCACTGTGCTCGCTGCCATTGGTCTTCAGGTGCTGATCCCGAAGCCGCGACTCCACAATAGGGCCCCACTTTGTGATATTGCCAACGAAGATACTCCTGACGCCCTGGTCGGTCTTGCAGGTGTGGGCATCAGGGTGTAGGAGTCACTCCTGTTTGTGGGGCCGCCCCGCCCGCCTTGGCGATCTTGGCCCTGGCCTGCTTGAGCACTTCCTCTTCCGTCTCCGCGTCGTCGTCGCTGTCGACCTTGACTATGGTAGCATCTGGCGTGGGTCCCATGGCTGCCGCGCTGACTGGTCCTGGAGGTGCGCCTGCTGCCGCTGCTGCAGTAGCTGTTGCTTCCCCCGTCGTGGTCTCCACCTTCCTCTTCTTCACCTCCTGCCTGATCGCCTCCGTGTTTTTTTTTTGTTGCCGCCGCCTCCTTTGCCGTTCGGATGTGTTCCTGCAGCTGCTGTGCGTGCGACTTGGCTCCCTCCTTGAGGTCCTGCAGTACCTTCTTCTTGGCTTCCGCAACCGCTTGGCATGTTGCCTCGTCCATTTCGTCATCCTCCAACTCCAGCTCGTCCTCGAGGTCGATGATCCCGTCGAGCGCCATGTCCTCGGGCGTCTGGGTGGTCAGCTGTCGCATCAAGCTCTGCTGCTGCCCTTCCTTGCCCTCTGCGTGGGTTGCCTCCAGGGTGTTCTCCTTTTGGACAGCGGCGGCCGCCGTATCGCTGAGCTTGGCCTCGAGCTCGCGCAGCCAGGCCCTCTGCTTCTTGACCTCCGCTGCCACCGCGAGGCAGTGCTTGTTCGCAATCCTCAGCGCCTCGGCGGCTTC